AGGAATATGCAACTCCATTTTCTCATTTAACAATATAATAAAGGCATTTAATCCTACTGTACATTCTTTATAATTAGCACTTAACAGCTACATAACATTTCCACTCAGTAGATAAATGTAAGAGCCATGGTTTACTTGGCCATTCCTTTCTTCGGTGACATACAAGATACATCAATGTTTTGTCACTGAAAGCAACGCTGCGCCTGAGTATCTTTTGTCAGATTAGTTTTTTGCCCCATAACTTGAATTATGTCTTTAGGATAAAGTCCCAGAAAAGCACTTTGAATATGCACATTTTAATGGCTCTGTCAAGTTTTTATTCAAATGAGAAGATGGCTTTGTTTTTTATATAAGCAAACACTGATCCATCAGCCCCAGATTGAGTTCCTCAATGCACACCTTAGCTTATTTTTAAAAATTTTTTTAAAAATTTAAACCATGGCATCTAGCTTATAAGCAACACTTAGTGAATATGGACTGAATGAATGCGTAAACAAAAATATTGAAAACTCTGAGACTTAGGGAAAAATATTTCGACTAGATCTATTATTACTTTTTTTTTTTTAAGCAAGAGATGTTGTATTTCCATGTAGATTTCACGAAGAGATGTGGAGGACTTACCCATGCCTAGCACTGGCATTCTGCTGCCCTTTCCTTATCTCATTTAATCCTCATAGCACCCCCTACAGTTCATTCTCCACACAGCAACAGAATGAAATGTTCAAAGCATAAATTAGATTACATTACACACTTGCTTTTTTTTATTTTAAAGTCCCAGGAGGCGTCTATGTACTGGTCTGACAGACTCCCATCATTCGAAAGGAAACAGAAGGTCCTCTTCACTGGGGAGAATACTATTTCTGGGAAAATCTCTACTTAGACGGAAACAAAATTCCACCCAACAACCAGGAACCACGGGAATTTTCCTGAATGTAGTTCAGCTGGGGTAATGGGTCATTTCAGCCAAACCATGAATCAGAGTTATATAACATTTAGGTAAGCTGAGGACAAATGACCCTCGAAAAATAATTTTATTGTTCAAAAGTTACTCTGGCTAACGTGTCCTGCCTCTCAGCAGCTTGTAACTCCTGGAACGCCGCAGGACCCTCCTCTCCCAGATATTTTTTTTAAAAGGAATGTTCATCTTTCATTTCTGGAGCTGTCACTCTCATTTTTCAGACCCAGGGAACCAAGTTGCTTGCATAAGATCAGAGAGTGTGAGTGACAACCAGAATTTATTTGTACCCGCTGTTGGAAAGCACCGCCAGCTTAGTTGCTAAACTTGAACCGCAGCGCCTCCTGGTGGGCAGCAGGTGGTTTGACTTTTCGAGGCCCTATTTTCACCTGGGCGACATCTCCCCTAACCCGTGCTACTGTTTTTCTCTCCCTGTCTCTCAGGTGAAGGAGGCCATGCAGCGGATTCACGACCGAGGAAACATCGGCAAGTTAATTCTGGACGTGGAAAAGACCCCGACTCCACTGGTGAGTGAAAAGCAGAGGGATCCGTTCATTTCAACACCAGAGGGTCCATCAGGTGGCACAGAGAGAAATACAGGCATGTCTCTGCTGGACCAGGGCTGCTAGAGGAGACCAGCGGTAATCAAACCACTGTGCAACGAGGGGTTAGTCACAAAGGGGATGAACGCTAAGAAGGAAAGGAAAATGCTTCAGTGAGAAGGTTTCAGGAGCAATCCGGGGGCAGTCGGGAGAGAACAGAAACAATGACTATTACACACGCTCTCTCGGCTGCCACGAGTGGGAGCGATTCCTGGTGAAATTTAATAAATCCACATTTAGGTACCTAACGGAATGATGCCAACTGCCTCTGAGATGCCTCCTGCTTTTGTCTTACCAGGATAACAGCCTTACATGCAGGGACCCGCACCAGGAGTGAGGCATGTAGCACTCATATCCCAGACACCCTTGCAAAGGTCCCGTGAGGGGGCTCTGCAGTGTGGCGGTCGACACACAGACTCCATGAGTCCAGAGCCCACCTCCGAGCCCCTGTGTGTGACCTGGGCAATTCCTTTGCCACTCTGGCTTCAGTCCGCTGTCTATAAATTGGAGATGGATACATTCTCATAAATCACTTAGAATGACATGCATAAAACATTGTCTCCTACTTACTAAGTTCTAGGAAAGATTTAACCAAGAAAATACCTAGGAAGTGTTTTTTGGTTTGTTTTCTCACAAGTTTAGTCTTAGAGCTGCATCAGTGGTTGATAAAAAAGGAAGAACTATAATCTTGGCCTGTTTTAGGCCAATGTGTATAATTTTTCAAAAGCGTCCCTTAGCTTTTGCAACCAGAATATGGTTTGGGTATTATGGCCACGTTACGCAATGAAGGACGATTTAATGAGAGGATGTTTTATAAAGTGTAAGTAAGGTAACAATATGCATACATTTCCTAATGCCTGCTAGGCTCCAGGACTGGGCCAGCAAATGTGTGAAGGCAGATGAGGGGTCAAGGTTAGGGAGGAGAAGGGGGCAGGGATCCTGGGTCTTCTGTGCACCTGCATTCTGTTCTTGTGACCAAGTTTCTTTCAGCCCCATCAGTAGACGGGGTCTTGAGCCATCTTGTACAGCTTATTGCTTCCAAACAAAATAGTTGGTACTGGCTTCCTGCTTGTCCACTACATGTGAGGTCCTGCTGACCTGAGGGCTTCTAGGAAGTCCTTTTTGACCACATAGGGATTCTCAACAGAGCAGGAGCTGAAAAGCCCACCTTTCAGGGTGAGAGTCTAGACCCTGCCTTGGCATATGTCACTTTCCTTGTTCCTGGATCTCAGGAGGGCTTTGACCCCTGGTACTTAATGATGATGGAAAATGGCCCAAATCAGATCTGTGATATTTGGAGCATTTCTTGGTGGAAGGGACCCTATCCCATCTGGTTGGAAGATTAGGCTCAAAGGAGAGGGAGCAGGTGGTCAGATCATTTCTAGGGTGAGCAGCAAATGGGCAAGGGTCAAGGCACAAGGTCAAGGCTCTGCAGGAACGTGTCATTCCCTACTGAGCAGATGTGGGCACAGGAGGCAGCAAGGGGCTCCCAGAGGCATTTTCTCCCATTGGAATGACCACTTTCAGAGCTCAGGCTGAGTCAAAGGCCCTGAACCTGCAAAACTGAACATGCCACAGGGCACACACCCGCCTCTAGAAACTCTCTGGGCTGTGAGGCGTGGGGGCAGCATAAGGGGAAGGGGAAGGTAATTGCTGCTGACGGCTCTGGAAGTGGATTTGCCAGGAGGCACCCGAGCATCTCTTCATCCTGGGGCTTTCTCTGGATGAGGCTGGGCCAGAGCAGAGCTGGGCTCTTCTTATAACATGCATGGGGTCAGAGCTGAGAAGAGGCTGCTTCCTCTCAACCCCACTGTATCAGAGGGCAGCCCTGCCCCGGTCCCGGCCATCTAACCAGTGCCCGGGAGAACGATGGTGACCTTCTCCGCAGGCTGCTGACCTCTGCTGCCCCACAACTTCTTTGGTTACAGCACCTCTGAGTCTCCCTCTGCACTGCTGTGAAATAGAACTAACAGCAGTAGTGGTTACTGTTGCTACTTTGTCGTAATTGTTGAGAACAAGGAGGGATGGGCATGACCCACCCTGCACATTGGTGAATGTGGAATGCGTGCTAATAAGGGAGAGCTCTTATGACTATGTATTCATGATTCTAAAAGTATGCATTGCATACTTACTGTGGTCAGGCACTGTGCTAGTTGCAGGGTTAAAACTGGAGGGAAACAGGAGACCAGGTCATCTCCCATGGGGTACAGTTCCCACAGGGGGGCAGGTGGACATCAGTCATCAAACCAGACAGATAAATGAGGCACTGCAGCTATGGATTCGTGCCACAAAGAAGGGCTCACAATAGGGGATTGTTCCCACTAGGGAAATCTGGGAGGGCTTCCCCGAGGAAGTGGGCTGAGCGCTGAAGGACAAGCAGGCATTCAGTAGGCAGGAAGGTAAAGAGATGGTGCCTAAGGAAGAAGGCACAGTGTGTGCAGTGGCCGAGAGGGGAGGTCCAGCTCCAGGTCAGACACGTGGTTGGTGGTGGGTGGGTGGGGAGGATGGGAGGTGGGGCTAAAGTTCAGGGGCTGATTCCTGTTGGTAAAAATAAGTTGTGAGAGCAGGAAGGGACCCAGTTTGGGAGGTCTGGAGGTCAAGGTAAATTACCTAGATCAGGACCCAGGACCAGGAAAGAAATCTGAGGCACTGTTCATAGAGGGGGCTGCAAATGGTTAGGACCAGGATGTTTCGAGCATCTGTCAGATGCTTCAGATACATCATTTCTCTCTTTCACTTGGTTCACAAGACAACTTTACAAGGTGGGTTTATCCCCATTGTAACAGTGGAGGAAATGGAGCTGTGCCAGGTACTGGTGAGGACAGGTAGGTAGGTAGATGGATGGATAGTTGGATGGATGGACAGATGGATGAATAGATAGATAGATAGGACCAGAAAGAGTCCCACAATTTCACAGAAAGGATGTACCAGTGGGGAAATATAGACAGCAAAGGAGATACACATTTGTTAACGTTGTTCTATTGCTCTTCTGGATTGTAGCAAGTGACAGCATCGGGATTTAAACCCTGGACGGTCTGTTCAGTGGATGCTGTCAGTACCCCCATGCCCCTCAGCACTCACAATTCCCCTGCACACTGGCGGTATGCTACTCCTGGCCCCTGGCCCTCTCTGCCTGGGAGCCTCCTCTGGCCACAGGAGATGCTTGGGTTATGCACAGAACTGGCCAGAAAGCCAGGGAGATAACCCACCTGCAGCCTTCCCTGGCTCCTTCCTGGCTCATGTGGGGCAACCGAGAGGCATGTCCCTCACTGCCCCCTAGTGGTCCCCCAGAGGACTGAGCCCCCGTTGCCTGTGGCAGGAGCTATGTATTAACACATCCTATACTGGCTTCCTTGCCGTTTCTGTCTCCTTTCCTCACTCCTGATCTCCCTGGGGTCATCTCTCAAGTCCTGGAATCACCTCCCTGATTCTAAATACTTGCACTCAAATGCTATGTCAGAGTTTGCTTCTGGGCGTGCTCAACATAAGTCAGCTAGTACCACACTGCCTTCCTGGGGAAGCAGGCGACCCTACGCTTAGTCCTCAGAGAAGTCCTACCCAAAGGGCTTCATCAGATGCTTGAAGAAGGTAGGAGACAGACTGCAGAGCCCTCTCAAGCATCCTCTGTTGAATTACAGATGGCCAATGACAGCACGGAGACCAGCGAGGCTGGCGAAGAGGAGGAGGACCATGAGGGTGACAGCGAGAACAAGGAGAGGATGCCCTTCATCCAGTAACCCGGGACCTCGGCAGGAGGACATGCAGGATGGTTTGGAGGAAGAGGAGCTGGCTGAGAAAGCTCTCCTGTGCCCCAGTGAACAAATGTTGTAGTCCAGTGAGTGTTGTGTTTGTCTGCAGTCAGCTGAGCTAAAAAGCTGTTGATTACCGTTGTTTCTGAAATTAAGTGCCAATCCCATTCCATGCAGTATTATGTCCCTCCCCGATCTGTGTGTGACACTACCCGCTCCCCTGTTTCAAAACTGTCCATCTTTGGGTCCTTCTCGACAGTTCCAGAACAGCCTTGCAAATTAATATGAGCCCACAGGTCCAGTGCTTAAGAGACCAGACCTGGGCAGAGACAAGTTTGGAAGGAGAGGTGTTATCACAGAGCACTGTCCAGATCCTCGAGTTCTTCAGGCCAATGACACTTTCTGCCACCAGCCACCCGTGCTTTGGACAAGAGCACTTGCCAATTTGGCTGGCAGGAAGAGGGTAGGCCAGGAAATGTTTCCACGAGCCCTTAAGTTTAGGATCTCTCCAAGCAGTATTTCCTTTCTTTCCACTTAAGAGGCAACCTCCCTACACTCCTTCAGTTGCTTCATGGTCAAAAGGTTGAACCATCCTCCTCTCAACCTCTGATTCTGAATCCCTTCACTGGTTCTTAGCCAAAAACATTGGGAAAGAGATGTGGATTTTTCAAGGATAGAAGATGGGTCAACAACCCACATGTGAGGACCAGCCCCAGAGATTCCTCCTCTGAAACCATGTCTCATGAGCAAAATCCCCCTTCTGCCATATATAGTCTATTTTCATTTTAAGAAAACTCACGCGGTGTGGGACTATTTCAGAAGTCATTACTCAGACACGCCTATGTTTGCTTGCTTGCCATTGGCATGACCAATTTTGTTCTTTTCATTTCTTGGTACTGAATAGTCACCTTTACCTTGACTCCCCCTTTGTAGACCATATCTGGGGGCAAAATATCAATGAGTATCTTTTTTTCTTGCCAAAGCAGGTTCCAACATGTAACAAACTCTCATGATACAGAAGGTTGATGTTTAGTGTCTGATGCCCAATGTGCAGTTCCTCTCCTCTGAAATATAAAATTATGGTGCAGACTCTTTGCAAGGCCCTGCTTTTTGGAAATCAGGGACCAGATTACTTGATTGTACACCCCTGATTAATTTTCCAGCTCCTCAACCCTTATAAGAATCCCACCCCCAACTCCCACCCTACTTGACGTGGCTTGAGGTGAACAGTTCCTCTGGAGGAAGAGAAAGAGGCTCAGTGTCTCCATGGAGGTTTCCCCTAGTCCTACTGGCCCAGAGGGTGGACTCCATCACTCCTAAGGCAAGCTGGAGACACAAGGAGCACGCATGGTTAGAACCCTAACTCACTTGCGTTCTAGAAGACATCGGAGGGTTCCTACAGTTCCTGCATTGCCCGATCTCTCCACCAATGAGCCTCAGGGTACACCTCACTCTTCCCCCTAAGTGATGGCAAGGAATGCATTTCAGCAGTGACCTCTTTTAGTCCCTAAGTCTGTTTATAACAATGTCACCTCATTAATCATGGTCTTTTTTTTCCTATCCTAAGCTTGTGATGATGACTTATTTATGCCAAATATTTATCTGAAGGAAGTGTCCTCATTGTGAATGTACCTGTAAGCTGTGAAGGTAAGGAAGCCACCTGATGAGCAAAGGGAT